GGGAGGGCTGGTAGTGTGTGTGAGGGCTGGTAGTGTGTGTGCTCATCAAGGTGCGGGGGTCTCGTGTCCCAACAATGTGTAGTCCGGCAGAAGTCATGTAGTAAAATAAACTCTTGGCCATGAATCAGCTATTAACGTTATGTGGCGTGTAGATAACTGGTGTGTGTGTGTGTGTGTGTGTGTGTGTGTGTGTGTGTGTGTGTGTGTGTGTGTGTGTGTGTGTACTTACCTAGTTGTACTTATCTAGTTGTGCTTGCGGGGGTTGAGCTCTGGCTCTTTGGTCCCGCCTCTCAACTGTCAATCAACTGATGTACAGATTCCTGAGCCTACTGGGCTTTATCATATCTACATTTGAAACTGTGTATGGAGTCTGCCTCCACCACATCACTACCTAATGTATTCCATATGTCTACTACTCTGACACTGAAGAAATTCTTTCTACCGTCTCTATGGCTCATTTGGGCACTTAATTTTCACCTGTATCCCCCTAGTGCGTGTGCCCCTTGTATTAAATAGTCTGTCCTTATCTACCCTATCAATTCCTCTGAGAATCTTGTATGAGATGATCATGTCCTCATCTCTGTCTCCCAGTGACGTGAGTTTTAATTCACGTAGTCTCTTCTCGTAGCTCATACCCCCTCAGTTCGATTACTAGTCTGGTGGCAAACCTTTGAACCTTTTCCAGCTTATTCATATGCTTGACTAGATATGGACTCCATGCTGGAGCCACATACTCCAGGATTGGTCTGACATATGTAGTATACAAAGTTCTGAAAGATTCCTTACACAAGTTTCTGAAGGCAGTTCTTATATAAGCCAACTTGGCATATGCCGCTGATGTTATCCTCTTGATATGGGCTTCAGGGGACAGGTCTGGCGGGATATGAATCCCCAGGTCTTTCTCTGATGCTTGAAGTATTTCTCCTCCCAAATGATACCTTGTATCTGGTCTCCTGCTCCTTACACCTATCTTCATTGCATTACATTTGCTTGAGTTAAACTCCTATAACCGTTTGTTCGACCATTCCTGCAGCTTGTCCAGGTCTTCTTGAAGTCTCCAGCTGTCCTCTGTCTTTCTCATAATTTTGGGGTCGTCAGCAAACATTGAGTGGAATGAGTCTACACCCTCTGGGAGATCATTTGCGTATATAAGAAACAGGATAGGACCGAGTACAGAGCCCTGTGGGACTCCACTGGTGACTTCACGCCAATCTGAGGTCTCACCCCTCACTGTAACTCTCTGCTTCTTATTGCTTAGGTACTCCCTTATCCACTGGAGCGCCCTACCAGTTACTCCTGCCTGTTTCTCCAGCTTATCATCAGCCTCTTATGGGGTTCTGTGGCATAGGCTTTCCGACAGTCCAAAAAAATGCAATCCGCCCATCCTTCTATTTTTGGCTTAATCTTTGTCACCTGATCGTAGAATTCTATTAAGCCAGTAAGGCAAGATTTACCCTCCCTGAACCCATGTTAATGGGTTGTCACGAAATCCCTTCTCCAGTGATTTGAGTTACCAGTGATTTGATATTCACTATGGAGAGTGGCAGGCACAGTTCTTCTGCTCCTTCCTTTAGTATCCAAGGGGAGATTCCATCTGGGCCTAAAGGTTTGTCAAATCCAACTCTAGCACAAGCTTCCTTACATCCCCACTGGTAATCTCAAACTCTTCTAGTGGTTCCTGGTTAACTATTCCCTCTCTCTTATTTCTGGACCTTCTCCTTGCTCTAATGTGAAGATCTCCTCTAATTTCTTATTCAATTCCTCGCACACTTCCTTCTCGTTTGTAGTGAATCTGTCTACCCCTATCCTCAATTTCATTACCTGTTCCTCTACTGTTATTTTTCTCCTGATGTGGCTGTGCAGCAATTTAGGTTGAGTCTTTGCCTTGCTTGCAATGTCATTTTCGTATTGCCTTTCTGCCTCTCTTCTCAACCTGACATATTCATTCCTGGCACTCTGGTATCTTTCTTTGCTCTTAAGTGTCCTGTTATTTCTATGGTTTCTCCACGCCCTTTTACTTTGCTGCTTAGCTAGCCTACATCTCTGATTAAACCATGGGTTTCTCATTTGCATTTCGTTGTTTTCCTTTTGGACCGGGACAAACTTGTCTGCTGCCTCCTTACACTTCTGCGTGATGTAGTCCAGCATGTCTTGGGCCGTCTTTCCTCTGAGCTCTGTTTCCCATGTTAAATCTGTTAGGAATTTTCTTATCTCCTCATAGCTTCCCTTTCTGAATGCCAGCCTTTTGTTTTCAGTTCCCCTCCTCGAGTTCCTTAACCCTTCTTGAACCAGATATTCAAACGTCAGAACATTGTGGTCGCTCATTCCTACTGGGACCTCGTGTGTGTGTGTGTGTGTGTGTGTGTGTGTGTGTGTGTGTGGTGTGTGTGTGTGTGTGTGTGTGTGTGTGTGTGCGTGTGTTCATCTAGTTGTGCTTGCGGGGATTCATCTCTGCTCTTTCGGCTCGCCCCTGAACTGTCAATGAAATGTTACTAACTACTTTTTTTTACACACGCGCACACACACACACACACACACACACACACACACACACACACACACACACACACACTACTTGTGGCCAGTCTTAGAGTATGCCGCCTCATCATGGAGTCCCCATCTGAAGAAGCATAGAATGAAACGGAAGAGGTTCAGAGGTTTGCAACGAGACTCGTCCCAGAGGTACGAGAGATGGCCGTATGAGGAGCGCCTGAAGGAACTGTTCCTTACGACACTAGAAAGAAGAAGGTAGAGCTTGCGACATGAGTGGAACCTATACGATGCTCAGAGAGTTAGACAGCCTAGACATACCCGAACTGTTCTCCGACTGGGTAGTCACAGAACGAGGGGACATGGATGGAAGCTGGAAACTCAGATGAGTCACAGAGATGTTAGGAAGTTTTCTTTTAGCAGCGTGAGAGTAGTGGGAAAATGGAATGCACTTCAGGGAGCAGGTTGTGGAAGCAAATACTATTCATAATTTTAAAACCAGGTATGATAGGGAAATGGGACAGGAGTCATTGCTGTAAACAACCGATGCTCGAAAGGCGGGATCCAAGAGTCAATGCTCGATCCTGCAGACACAACTAGGTGAGTACAACTAGGTGAGTACACACACACACACATGAAGTAGCCCGTAACAGCTGTTTAACTCCCAGGCACCTATTTACTGCTAGGTGTACAGTTACATCAGGGTGAAAGAAAATCTGTCCATTTTTTCCCGCCTCCACCGGGGGATCGATCCCCGGACCCTACGATTACGAACTCCGAGCGCTGTCCTCTCAGCCGCCAGGCCCCCGAGAGTGTGTGTTATCCCCTAGTGTGGTCCACACCAGTACTGTCCTCCACTGATGTACAATGTATGCCTTTGGTTTAGAAAATGGTAAATCAATATTTACAATGGTAATACAGGCTTGCACTGGAATATAAAACTGCATTAATTTATATATTTTTATGCAAGATTTGCTAGCACTGCAACTATGTTCAAAATGCTGTATTAGTTATGTAAACAAAATAATTTCCGAACTCTGAAAGGCAGAACAGAAATACTGTTCAATATATAATGAATTTTGGTGGAAACTGTAAAGTCACGTTGGCTTTTGTTTATGTGCTCAAAACATTTAATTTTGTGAGCTTACGTCACGTTTTTATTCTTGATATGTAGAGGAGGTAGTGGTGTTTGTGGTGTTTTGGTTGGGTGTTGTGACGCTGTGATGGGGTGTTTGATGGGTGGGGTTGTGATGGGTGTTTTGTGATGGGTGTTGTGATGGGGTGTTGTGGTTGGGTGTTGTGACGCTGTGATGGGGTGTTGTGATGGGGGTGTTGTGGTTGGGTGTTGTGACGCTGTGATGGTGGGTGTGTGATGGGGTGTTGTGATGGGGGTGTTGTGGTTGGGTGTTGTGACGCTGTGATGGGGTGTTGTGATGGGGTGTTGTGATGGGGGTGTTGTGATGGGGTGTTGTGGTTGGGTGTTGTGACGCTGTGATGGGGTGTTGTGATAGGGGCCGTAACAGCTGTTTAACTCCCAGGCACCTATTTACTGCTAGGTGTACAGTTACATCAGGGTGAAAGAAAATCTGTCCATTTTTTCCCCGCCTCCACCGGGGGATCGATCCCCGGACCCTACGATTACGAACTCCGAGCGCTGTCCTCTCAGCCGCCAGGCCCCCGAGAGTGTGTGTTATCCCCTAGTGTGATCCACACCAGTACTGTCCTCCACTGATGTACAATGTATGCCTTTGGTTTAGAAAATGGTAAATCAATATTTACAATGGTAATACAGGCTTGCACTGGAATATAAAACTGCATTAATTTATATATTTTTATGCAAGATTTGCTAGCACTGCAACTATGTTCAAAATGCATTAGTTATGTAAACAAAATAATTTCCGAACTCTGAAAGGCAGAACAGAAATACTGTTCAATATATAATGAATTTTGGTGGAAACTGTAAGTCACGTTTGGCTTTTGTTTATGTGCTCAAAACATTTAATTTTGTGAGCTTACGTCACGTTTTATTCTTGATATGTAGAGGAGGTAGTGGTGTT